TCTCTCTCTGTCTCTCTCTCTCTCTCTCTCTCTCTCTCTCTCTCTGTCTCTCTCTCTCTCACATACACACACACTTTAAACCCTATTTCTGTGTTTCTCTGGCCTCTGAAACTCACCTGATCCCGTGACCCTGCTGATGGACTCCTGGATGAACCTCGATCTGGTGAGTTTATGGATTTATTCTGCCTAAAATCATGCACTGCTTGTGTTCGGATCCAAATATAGATTATGAATGCTACAGAAATCTCTGACAGTAAATCCCCAGGTTAAAGAATATAGTTTATAAAAGCATTATGGAAACATTGTGTTGAAGTGTTTCCGAAACGTTGAAATGTCAGAACGTTCTACTAGCTTTCACCGAAAATATGTTATTTGAATGTTTCTTTTTAATATTCTAAGAATGTTAAAATGTTTCGTTTTCTTGCCGTAATTATAACGTTAAGTTACAAAAACGTTACTTAGAACATTCACTTAGTTTTAATATTCTGAGAATGTTGAAATGTGCAGTTTTGCTGCTGTAGTTCTAATGTTATTCAAAGGTTGCAAAAATGTTTCACCCAAAATATGATATTTGAGCAATTGTTTTCAATATTCTAAAAACCTTAAAATGTCATTTTCTTGTTGTGATTATAACATTATTTAAAGGTTACAAAAATGTTTCTTATAAATTTCTACTAACTTTATTTTCACCTAAAGTCTAACATTATTTGAACATTGGTTTTTGATATTCTAAGAACGTTAAAATCTCCAGTTTTCTTATTTTGATTATAATGTTATGTAAAGGTTATAAAGACATTTCTTTGAACTTTCTACTAACTTTGAGAATTCTGAGAATGTTGATCTCGGAACGTTTTCGCTCAACGTTATAGGAACGCATATCAAATATTGATACAGTTACAACAGCGTTCCATAAACACTACTTTGAGAATGTTTTGTCCTAAGATTTCTATAACGTTTAACAAACATTCCCTGTTAGCTGGGGCAGGCGTTTGTAAGAAGTGCGCAGACAGATGCGTGTAAACATCTGGGCCGTCCCGTGTGTCCGTGTGAACCTCTCAGTCTGCTTTAATCGGCTGATCTGCTCTGGATTAACAGCAGAAACCACTCGTCTCTCTCTGTCTCGCTCGCTCTGTCTGTCGTCTCACGAGTTCTTGTTTTCTTTGGGTTTCCACTGAAGACGTGCGGCTCCGGCGCCAGGAACACGAGCTCTGCAAAGAGCCAGATAATCAGTATTGAGCGTCTGTTATAACTCAGACCATCCAGAGCTCCATTATGCCGATGAAAGGAAGCTTCTGGATGCCTCTGTTGCATGAATTATACAGGAATCTTTTGGCTGGAGTGAACTGTTGATCAGGGTTTGTTTGAATGTGCTGGACTGTGATTTCAGCTCTGTTCAGAGAGTCTACAGTCAGTCTGTTCCTGATCATATGAAAGCCACAGTGAACTTGACTGATGTCAGACTGAAATGATGAGCTGAGCAGGTGAACACAGCTGAACTGATCCTTCTCTGAGCTCCGCACCCCTCGGTTACTGTTGCTAGGTCTCACAAGCTTTAGTTAAAGGTTCATTCATTTTATTGTGTTTTTTATCTCTATTTAGGTTATAAATTTTTTCCGTTTTAATTGTAGTTATTTTAGTACAATAAAATAAAGTGAAAAATAGAAATGTTGAATTAGCACCTGAAAAAATTTAAATGAGTTTACGTTTCAATATATTTTAAAGTTTTAAATATTTGAAATTAGATTTATTTTCATATTTTCTTCCTTCATTTTAACTTTAGCTCAAATTTGAGTCAGTTTGTTGTTGTTTTTTAGTATCTGTTTACATTTTTATTTCCGTTTGAATTTTAGTAGTTTTAGTGCTTCAACTCAAACTAAACTAAAATGAGAAATGTTGTCTTTGCACCTAAAATAACAAAAACAGGTTTTTTAATATATTACATTTTTAAAATATATTTTAAATTTGTATTATTAGTAGTATTTTGTTTTATATTTTTCCTTCATTTGAACTTTTGGTAAAGTTTTAGTAATTTTGTCTGTTTATATTTTATTCATTTTCATTTAGATTTTAATTTTAGTAATTCTACTACTTTTAAACGAAACAAAAACAAGAAATGTTGAAATAACTGAAAATAACTAAACTGAAATAACTAAAATAAAAAACATTTAATATATTTGTTTTAATATACTTAAAGTTTTTTCATGTTTTATTCATTTTTATTTTTTATATATAATTTTTTAACATATCATAATAATAATAATTATCATATTATAGAATATTTTATTTTATTGCAGTTAACGCTTTTTTATTTCAATTAATGTAAATGTTTTTAATTGTTTATAGTTTGTTAACAGTAACAACACTGCTTCCCATAAATGTTGTTGGCCTGCAATGTTGGAGTCAATAGCAGAACCAGATCAAAACCAGACCCTGTAAGACCTAGACCAGACTAAGACCATGTGTGTGTGGTCTGGATCAGGACTTTGTGTTGCTGAGCTTCATTTCTGTTCCGTCTGATTGCTCATATGGTCTCACGCTGGCATTTAGCGGTTTGATTGTGAGTGTTCAATTACAGTCAGAGCTGTGAGTGTGTGTGAGTGTGTGTGAGTGTGAGTGTGTGTGTGAGTGTGTGTGAGTGTGTGTGTGTGTGTGTGTGTGTGAGTGTGAGTGTGTGTGTGTGTAAACTAAACTAAAATTAAAAACCATTTTTGTTCATTAAAATAAAATAGACATGAACTAAGATAAAATAAAATGTAAAAAGCGTTCTATTTCAGCTAGTTGCCAATGCAACACTTTTCATTTTAATTTAGTTTAATTTGATGTACTCAAATAACTAAGAGTGAAATAAAAAACTATAT